ATGATTCATATCTCTTAAATTATTTCTTTTTACGACAAAAAGCTCATGATCGATTTCATCAGTTTTTCTTAAAAATTGCACTTACGAAATCACTAAATCTGAATATAAGCTCTTCCATTCTATTTAATTCCTTTCAAATTGGTTCTATTTTTAATAAGTTTTTAAAAGTTCGCATATCACCAACTTGACTAGTTAATAAGATTTTTAGAAAAACTTGAAACCGATCAGAATACTTCGCTTAGAATACTTTTGTATATTTTCACTATTATCAGACTTTTTCAGCAGATGTATGCTTATCCTGAGATACAATTTTCGGCTGATGAGCATAAAGGAAAATAGAGCAAATAACGAGGAATGCTCCCACAGTAAACTGAAATGACAAGTGAAAATCAAACAGATAAATGGAAGCTATACAGGAAATTATGATAGCCAAAGATGTGGCAAATCCTTTCAGTATGTTGTCGGCATATTTAACTACCATTGCTACGATCAGTCCACCGCCCGCTTGCAGAACTACCAGATAACAAATGAATAGATCATAACCGAAAAAGAAACCCTGCTTGCGTATGATATTACTATCGTGTAGGAAACATGTGCCCAAACCGAATGGTATAGACAAAACGCTTAATTGCACGTTCCGCATCCATACTGAAATATCAGAACCTTTGAGTATCTTTTCAAAGTAAATTCCTGCAAAACCGGATATGAAACACGCGCTTAAAGCCGCAGAGAAGCCTAACCAATGGTTTTGTTCGATGCCCGAGGGTAAAGAGGTCTTTACAGTTTGTGCCAGTTGTACCAAGATAACTCCAATGAGCAAGAACACTAGAGCACCCCATTGAGTGGGATGTAAAGGCTTGCGTAATATCGTCACTGCGAAAATGGCCGTTGTTAAAATTTTCAACTGGTATGTAACCTGAAAAATACATTTGTTTCAAATATCCTTACTATAAAGATGATACATAAATAAATACGTGTTAATATTAACTATCATATATTTTTTTTTAGAAACATTTTGTGCCTTACCTGATACGTGGCTGCATCCAAGTTGGATGCAGAAACATAAAGCAAATTGTTTTGAATAATATATAGGAGAGATGGCACACAGACTTTCAAAGTGTCAATAGGTTGCTTCACAATTGTCGTATGTAATGCTTTGTAAAATTTCTCAAAGTTTCCTTCTTCAACATATACTAACACAAGACAAGTAATCAATTTCACAACTTCAGCCATTACAACAGCTGGAAAAGAAAAAGAATGTCATTGAATAAATATGACATAAGAATCTTCTATATTAATTGTTTTACATAATTTATAATATTTACCAGTGGAAGAAAGAAACATATCCCCTGCTCTAATACGTGAATACCGCATACTAAGGCTAACCATAGCATTTTGAAGAGTAAGAGTAAGTAAACTTATATATTTTAATGTTTGGCCAGTTCCTATAATACACATATTTACAGTGATAAGAGAAAATTGTTTATAACATTCAAATGAATATTAATGACATAATTACTTTGCAACGTTTTGTTCATATTGATAATAAATGCCTTTTAACTTTTTTTTTGTGAGATAATTTGTAGATATTTTTTCATAAGCTACATTTTTCCTAAAACTAAAAGAAACACTCGTTAATTTTTCATAAAAATATTCAACTATTTTTTTCAAAATGTAAACAATTGTTTTTTTATTTAAAATAATAATTAAAATAATAAAATGTTACATCCAAATACAGAATATTAATTTAACATTTTTGACATATAAAATTATCAGGAATGTGAATAACAATAAAAAAAACGATATATAATTCATCTAATCAGAAGAGAAAGTAAACAAATGAAAGATAGCAAATAATATTTCACAATATACAGATGCACATATGTTTCACAATAGAATGTCATTTTCAATTTGTGATATAAGTTACAAGAAAATAATTGAGAAAAAATAGATATAACAAATATTTTTAATTACATTATATTTATTTATATAAATGGATCATACTGACATTTGTGTGATAACAACCGTATAGGATTTGATAAGTTAAATGAAAAATCATAAAGATTTATTCTGAAAATCTAGCAAAAGAAGACAACATCGAAAATCACAACGCGTGAAATAAAACAATCTGATTAATTATCAAAATAATGCTTATTAAAGACATACACCTTTCTCGAAATTTTTGTACACGTTAAACTGACACGTTGAACATTCGTACTTCACAAGAATTCGCCTGGTTATTTTCCTATCGACGTTACTGTTGATTCCATAGATGCAGAAGGGTGGCGTCCGATTATTCACATTGCCAATTGGCCAATTTAAAATAAAATTTTTTGATTGGTTAATCCAATGAAAAATCTTCAGGCATCGGTCGCTGTAAGTGGCTGTGGTCAATTGTAACGTGTTCAGCTCCCAGGGGCCCTATTCTTGAAACATCACATACGAAAATCTTATATATTGCATAAACTATAAGATTTTCGTATACGATATATGTTTCAAGAATAGAGCCCCAGGACATTCTCAGAGTCGAATAATGTTGATTGAATTTGTTAATTTGCATTAAAAGATTCCACAATCTACTAGTGTTGATAATATATAATATATGTCGCCTGAACTATAAATTTTCAATATTAGCAACGAATGGGTGTTTTCTAAAGTTTTTTTGTGTCCACGATGTTAGAAATCGGTTCGAGATCTTGGATGAAAAGAGAATAGTATACTTATAGCACTTGAATAGTATACTTATAGCATAAAATTATAATATAAAAATACTTATATATAATATACTATAAAATTATAGTATACTATAAAAAAACAACGTACTATCATAAGATAGTGATCATAGATAAGTGTGGAAATGATAAGGAGCGTCCCATTTAACCACATTGCGGTAGATAGTATGGTGCGTTTTTCTTATAGCATACTATAATTTTATACTTATAGTATTTTATGCATATATACTTTTTTTATAAATATATACTTATAATATAAAATTATAGTATAATAATTAGACTTATTTATTGATTAATTATTAAACTATCAGCAGAAAGCGAGCGTGGCACAATGGATAGCGCGTTAATCTACTGTGCTAGAGATCTCAGGTTCAAAATTCCCGACAGAATCAAAATATTTTTATATGCTCGTATTTTCTCTCGACTGGCAAACTACGAGCATTTCTACCTAAAGTATTTCCCCAAAAAGTGTGTCAAAAGTGAAATGGTAGTATACTTAGCCAAGTGATTGGAATTTTAATGCCAATACTGATTTTGGGGTGAGTCCCGTTAGCGCCATCCATACACATTAGTCGCTACTTAAGAATTTTCCAATGGATCACCAATCAGAAAATTTTATATTTAATTGGCCAATCAGCGTTGCTATCCGTGTGCTATCGGATCCCGTGAGGTCCAATCGAATATATTGCCGATTGGTCGATTAAATAAAAAAATTTTTGATAGGTGGCTCACTAGAAAATTTCTAGGCATCTGATGTGAGTGGTGTGTCCGATTGAAAATGTGCGCATCTGGGACGTTCTTTCGGATCTCTTTCAGAGGGTCGATCATGTAACTTTTCCTCTAAGGCGGAAACGTAAAAAGTGAAAAGTGAACTTTTTCGCCATGTACCTTGGTGGCGGAAAGGCGGAAATCTAGGGAATTAATAAATATGCTTCGGAATTAGAGAAGCTTAGGGCTGTGTTAGGATTAAGTATACGTACGTAGTACATATACAATTGTTTATTAAAAGATGTATAATACTGTACCAATAAAATAATTTTCATTAACTATAAAACCTATGAAACTATGTTTCTTGATTTCACTTTTCACGCATTCACACTACATACATAATCGCTGTACGTGAAACGTTTCACGTGAAATGTCAAGGTGTAAAAAATGAAAAGTAAAAAGTGAAAAAAGAAAAGTGAAAAATTTCACGTAAAGTTACATGATTGACCCCCTGATTTTGTCAATTGTTCAAACAGTAGCCGCAGTCTGTTCTCTCTCTTTTTTTATACCCAAGCAACTGGAAATTTTTGATAAAGAGACGTACTAAGCAAAGTCACTATCGGTGGTTTGCCATTGCCTTTCGAGAGGAGACGAGCGTAAATTTATATTTTGACTTTGCCGGGAAAATCGAATCCGGGACCTCTAGCATAGTAGACCAGTGCGCTGTCTACTATGTCACGCTCACTCTTTATACTGTCTTGTACTATTTTACAACCATATATTAGGACCTTAGCAGAATGATTGTCTTATGATCTTAAGATAATATTTTATGACTTAAGTCTTTGTTTTCAGTAACGCACAATATCTAGAGTTTTAAAATATATGAAGTATCGCTTGCAAGGAACACGTTTTGACAAATCAAATAAAGTACAAAGGAAGATATTTACACTATACAGGCTGCGTTCTGATATTCACTGCCAGTACTGAAAGTATATAGTTCAGGTATAGTATAGATTTTCACTGAATATCGGAACGCAGTCACACAGAAATTTCGTGAATGCCAGACATGACGATTAACACTAATTAAATTCATGAAAATAATGAAGCAAGCAATTTCGCGTATAATAGTATAATAATGAAACAATATACTTTACTAAGAGCAAGTAAATTGGAATTTTAATGCCAATACTGATTTTGTTGGTTGTTCAATTCAAACAGCAGCCGCGGGCTACTCTCTCTCTCTTTCTCTCTCTCTCTCTCTCTCTCTCTCTGTCTTTTTATACTGTCAAAAGATTTAGGATGTTCTTTTCTTGGCACAACTTCTGGTGAAAAGAAGAATCTAGAATTATAATTATTATAGACCATGTTTCAAAATTTACAAATGTTAGCGCTAATAAGGCTGATGGCAGAGAACGAGACGTAAGCGCTTACGTTTACGATAAATTTTCAGCCTAATGTATAAATAATGTATAAATACGTCGTGTGAACTATAGATTTTTAGTATTGACAGTAGTATTGAATTTTGAAAAACAAGCATAATAAAAATTTGTTGTTGTTTACTAGATGAATGAGGACAAGCCGCTATCAAGCGCTAATTCGGCTCTCCAATTCGAATTCGCCGCCACGATTCGATGGCAGCACGAGAGTAGGGATCCTTAAGCTGACTTTTCATGCTGACGCTCGACGCTCATTTTTAGCGTCAAATTAGATCCCGGGATCATTATTAAACAGAATAGTGAAATCTGAATGATCATTTTTGATCACGTGATCTAGTTTGACGCTAACAGCGTCGAGCGTCAGCATGAAAAGTCAGCCTTAGTTATTAAGATGCCGTATGCGGCGTAACTCGCGTAAGCGTAACTTGCGCCGACTAATCATATCGTTTCACTTGAACATCAGATTTCGCCTAGTTATTTTATGCTGTTTATTGTTAGGCTGGCATTCCATGGCGCGGAAATCCACAGTGAAACGGAACATGCGAACCAATTACAGCAAAAACACAAAATGAATGAATTTTCTTTTGGTACTTTCGCTGTGATTGCTTTGCACGTTTCATTCCGCTGTGTGATTTCCGTGCCATGGAACGCCAGCTTTACGCTGAATCTAATTTTTTGCGAAATACTAGTGAATAATTAGTAGAAGAATCAGAGTTTTTTTGCAAAATGAATAAATATCAAATCAGGATAAGTTAAGAAATAATTTTAAATTAATTTAGCTGTTTATTTTGAAAGATATCTATTAGATTCGGAAAAAATTAACGGAGACCGACTGGATTTGAACTCGGGATCCCTCGTCTACCAATCCGACACTTACTCTGCACGATCACGACGGCTCCTCTCTGTTAGCTGTTTATATTCCGAATCTCTTTCATGACCGCTTACGGTCGTCTAATTCTTACAATTTAATATCTGTAATAATGTTCTAAAAATTTATATCCAATATATTTCTTACAATATGTCACAATACATATATTCAATATATTTCTCACAATACAAAATTGGGTTAAAATAAGGTTAAAGTTGTATATTAATAGATCTGTCCATGTTGCTTGCACTTTTTGCATGTAAAATATTTGCTTTCTCTATGTCAAATGCTTAATGTGTATTTATCTTGTTTTAAATGCATGAATTTTTGAAAGTTACAAATAACAAATTTAAGCTTAACGAAAGACGTATATCGTGGTAAGTAGTGTGTGACAATCTGATTTATTTTTGCGTGTAATGCATGTTTTTGTTTCTGTTATTGTACTCATTTTTCAAAATTATTTTTATTATGTATTGCATCAAATATTTAGAAATAAAATGCCAATCATAAAATTAGGAAGGAGATATAATAAAGGAATAATTTATAATAATGACTTACATGTAATTTTATTGTGAATAAGTTAAAAAAAATAAATGTCTTATTTTTTGAGATATGTGCAATTACTTGTTCTGAAATATTTTCGTTATCTTCATAAATATAAGATAGTGGTTCTAAAAAAAAAAAAGTCTTAACATAAGCTAATATAACTTTTATCTCATCAGAATTCAGAATCGTAGAATATATGTTTGTAAACACAATTCCGATTATTTTAACGCTTCAAACCGATTCATGTGATTGCGTAGTGTTGGTAACATTAGTAGCGCTAATGGACTGTTTTACGGAAGCAAATGAAAACAAAAGCATCTGAAGCATTTGTAGCATTGAGGGTCTCTTTCACCAATCTTCGGTTAAGCTAACTGATGGTTAACTCGACCATCACGATTATCAATGCCTGAGAACTAAATTGTTTATTATAGATAAGTGTTCTCATAACCTTTATTTGTGTTTTATATTCTTGTGTTTATACTTGTTTGTAATTACAATTTCATCTACCTACCACACGTACCTACAACACGAAAAGAATATTAGGTTAAAAAACACTTGCACTACTTTCTAAGCATTGAATTACAATTGGCACTTCTACGGGTTAACCGTCGATTAATTTAACCAAAGATTGGTGAAAGAGACCCTGAGTGATCCGCACCCTATAAAGATTTCGCAACACTTCTCGGTTAGTTACAGCCAACATGTAGAAAAAAAATAAGCTAAACTATCACCGTTTGGAATATACCTTAAGTTACATGATTTGTATCCTAGTGAAAAGTTTGGGAATACAAACAACACGAACAAATATTTCAGTATTTTACATCACACATGAAATGTGACATGAACGAAGACGATAAAAATCAGTAAAGATACAAAACATAAGAAGAACAAGGATAGGAGGAGTTTTGTTAACCTCATAAATATTTTATCATTTGTTCAGAAAAAATTGCAAGCATGTCTATGGTAATTACTTATAGTTTTATGCCGTAACTACAAATAATATTAAATTTCGAATATTTAGTGTACAATTTACAATGTCTTAATTTCTTAATATCTCTGTAGATCATTTGTACATATTTCCATGATTTGTTATTGAACAATATATGTAAAAAGTAACATTTTGGGATTTTTTAAAGTTTAATTAAGTATTGTCTAGAAATAAAAATACCTTAGGAGATGGAATAGTATTTGGTATTACACTAATATTAAAATTGATATATTAATTATATCATCAAAATATAAACATTTGTAGCGACCTGATGATCATCGGAGAAAATGGAACCGAGAGGAATACGAAAGGATTGCACTTCAAAGATTACAAGATGAGATTGCTGAGGAAGAATTAGGAATTCCCAAGCAACCAGCAGTTAAAAGAGAATTGCTAAAGCAACGAGATTATAAAGTTGATCTTGAATCTAAATTAGGAAAGAGTGTTGTCATTAATAAAAATACTCCATCATCACAAACTGGAGGGTAAAATTCAAAATATTTTCAAATATTTTCTTTTAAATATTTAACATGCAATAATTATATAATTATGCAGTTTTAATAGATAATATTTAATTATATATAAAACAATAGTAAAAAATATAAGTAAATAGTATAAACGAATAGTGAATTGATTAGATTAGAGATATTAGGATTTGATGTTAGATATTAGGAAAAATTGAATTTATATGATTTAATCTTTTTAGCGTATGTAATTTAATTTTATCTATTTGATGAATTTATCTTTTATCTATTCCAAGTTGTTTTAATTTTGTTAATGTTTTAGAGAATGAAGTTTAATCAGTTAACGATTAAAGCCTACTTATTTTTATGTATTATACAGATTGAAAAAGTAGACATTACAACATAAACAAACTAACACAATGTAAAGCAGAAAACAAATATAAATATGAATATAAACACGAATAGAGTTATAAATGAATTGAATTGAAAGTCATCCAAAGCCATAAGGCATGAATTAAGAATAATAAATAATTGTATAAGTAATTAGATTATATGATTAGATAATTAGATTATATAATAAAATTATGTTGTATTCTGTACTTGTACAATATCTTTGATTATTAATAACATGTCATATTTCTGTTTATTTAGGTACTACTGCAATGTTTGCGATTGTGTTGTTAAAGATTCGATCAATTTCTTGGATCATATTAATGGAACAAAACGTAAATAAAAAAATATTTTATAAAATAATTAATTAAATTATAATAATTTATAAATATAATTAAAATTACAATATTCTTATTTTAATTATGTTCTAAATATTTAATCATTGTTAGATCAACGTAATTTGGGCATGTCCATGAAGATAGAACGATCCACGTTGGAACAGGTTAAGGCAAGATTTGCACAAAACAAGAAAAAACTTGAAGAAAAAAAGAAAGATTATGATTTAGAACAGAGAGTGAAGGAACTGAAGGAAGAGGTTTGTTTCTGTCTGCAAAAGCATCTGTTTTAAATATTTTTTTATTCATTATGCAATTCCTTAAAATAAATTACTTCTTGTGCTATCTGTAGGAAGAAAAAATCAAAGAATATAGGAAAGAAAAACGAAAGGACAAGAAAAGAAAAATTGAGGAATTGGCCGAGGATGATGCAGGACCCTCTGATGAGATGGCCGCAATCATGGGATTCTCTGGTTTCGGCTCGAAAAAAAAGTGACAAACTACTTCTGCCATGAACAATCTTTATTACTTTGAGGAAGATCGCTCGATATGATTTGGAGACAAGTGGAAATGAGTAAATAGCGAATAGTCTTGATTTCGCTGTTTGAAATTTAAAAAAATGACTTGTACATTTGTGATATAATTTTTCATTTTTCCATCACTTTTACAAAAGTTCTATGTTTGAGATATGCGAGGGGAAGGAAAGTATCAATTATAAATCCGACCAAGCCCAACACATCGTATGAGCTTAAACTAAGTATTTTAACTAAGGTTAATTAATATTAATTAAAATTATTTGGGTACAAATTCGTAATACAAATATTTTAAGCATATCTTGAAAATTGTATGATATCTTTGACGAACTCCTTTACTGTGAAAGTACAGGATTTTATGTTTGTAGTGAATGAAAATGCGTGTGTGTTATCCATGTATTGATAAAATTCATGAATTAATCTAAACAAGATTTAATGTAATCGATGTTTTTACTTAATCCTTTTCTTCGTGATTATTTTTTATTTTAATTTTGATAATAGTTTCTATCACTATTCTATTTATTATTAATCTATAACGTTTTAAATTTTTTTAAATTTGATGAATATGCTACACTCATGAAATATTAAATTTAAGAGGAATTTAATTAAGCCAAGGAAAATTTCATAAGTTTTTTTAAATAACTAATCCAATTATATAATAAAATAAAAACAGTATATATATATAATAATTATTAGGAATTATTTTCTTCGTAAATATAGAAATTATACTTTTTTTACATACAATTTTTTTCTCTTTTATGTCAATCATGAACATCATTATTTTTACCAATGTAAAATATTTTTTCTTTTGATTTAACATACCTTTTATCTTTTTCTAGTTCTAAGAATTAGAAAAAGATAAAAAATAAATTAAAGCTATTCTACATTGATAAAAATGAATGAAACTTAAGACTATTAATTATACAGCAAGGCTATATATTATTATAATTATAAAATTATAATATATTTCATATGTATTATAATCGTCAGTCTTGTCGGGAAGCACAAAGATATACAAGTCCCGTAGAACGAAAGTGGTAAAATCTTTTTCTTCTTTCTTGAGTGTATTTCTTTTCCGCGGATTCTTTCTCTCTCCTCTCTCAGGAGGTCCTCTCGCGAGCGAGGAAGGAGGGAGGAAATCTCGACTCTCGTCTCCCACCTCGCGGAGGATTAGGATCTCCTTCTACAGCGAGGCCTGGTGCCGGGGGCCAGATTCTAAGGTCGGAGCGACGGCACAGTGCCGGTTGATGTGTAGCCGACGCAGCTCTCTTCACGCGACGGCTCTCTCGCAGCAGCCAGCAAGTTGTCAACCCGTTATTGGAAAGTCCGCGGAAGCCGCGCGTGTCGGAGTCGCGCGTCGTGTCTTAAGTTGCTCGCACGTGGCTCATGTGAAGTAACGTGACGTGACGCGCGAACCGCCGCACGTGCCACCGTGGAAGTCATATATCTTGTCTTCGCCTTCGATGACAATCTTTCACATCTTCTACAAATCGGATTCAAGACTGGTGAAAACACGCATCCTTGGGAGAGAATCAGTGAAAAAGTTTTGTCTAATCTTCGAGATTAAAAACGAGTGTTGTACTGTTTTTTGAGGAGAGAATATTAAGAGGAATACTTGCGGAGAGAAGAACAAGGAAGAATTTCTTCGAGTGCGATTTAGCGATCGTATTTTTAGGAACAAGTGACAAGACAAATTGTCAAGGAATAGTTTCTATATAATGAACAAGTAAGAACACTATACACTTCAATTGTGAAGTGTTCTGACGAGTCCTGAGTCGAATCGAGTCATTAATTTCCTGAAGAAAAAACAAGTCGCAAAATAACTCTTATCTAGGAGAAAATTGGAATAATTTCATTGAGAGTTGTGTAATTTCTTTTTAAGGGAGAATTTTTGAAGAATGATATCTGTGAATGAAAGAAACAAGAATTAATTGCTGAAGCATAAATCCAGAATAATCAGCAGAAATCCAGAATAATCATCCTCCCACGGAAAGTTCGAAATATTGATTTAGAAGAAAGAACGAATAAAAAATATTACATAAAATAAAAGAAAACAAAACTTTCAAATCGAAAGAAACTTTAATGTTAATTATTTCATTTTATGAGTTTCACATAAATTTCCATGTTCTAGATCAAATTTTTAACAACTATCTTCATAATTAGCAGCAGTAAATTTTTTTAAGTATTCAAAAAGGACATTTTTATTATCCTTAAGAGGAGATTTTAACATTGGAAAATTCTATTAATTATCGTCATCATTGCTGTCTTACAAATGAATCTCGAATAAATTCAAGTAGTTCTTCGAAAGGAAGCATCGATTGTTCCTTTCAACATCTACGAAGGATCTCCCACATTTATCTCCTCACAATATCACGTAATTAAGTATATTGATTAGTGCCGACTAATGTACGCTCGCGAAAAATGCGACAGGCAGTCACGGCGAGTCCAGTGGACTTGACACGGAACTCGACGGATTGATGAACATCGACAGCGGATTTTACGAGCGTCTCGATCACGGTTCGCGAACACCGTAGCGCGGCGGCATTCGTTTCAAGTTGAAGAGCAAGACATCAAGGAGGACAACGATGTCGCGCACTCTGCAGCCGATCGAGGAATCCAATCCTGGCAAGTCGTCGGGTAAGAGTCTATTTTAATAAATAATTAAGAAATTATCACTAATTAACGACGATTTTTCGCAAAAAACTATATTAAGAAATTCAATATCTAACACAAAGCAGGGATCAAATCACAATATTAGGCCGCTCCTCGCCCTGATGAAGTGAACCGCAATCTTCACTGAAACGTTGGCATTTAGCAATGTATAATGACAAATGGATAATACCCGTAAACATATTAACTTTTTTGAATATTAAATATTATTTTATAGGCTGATTTATTAGGGAAAGAATTAAATTAAATTTCTTTGTATAACGAACAAGTAAATTAATCAATAAAATCAGATTTATTCATAAAATTCATTCGTTCATGCATATAAAAAAGAAATTAAAATAAAGTAGAACGATCAAAATGGATTTCTAGAAAAAAATTCGAATTTTTTTCTCTTCTTTCTCGCGAGATATAATTTCAAAACTTAAAATATCCAATGTTTCTTTCACTTTTCAAACGCGTTAAGTCTAAATCCTTTGATAAAGCGCGTGATAAGTTTTTTTATTCTGAAACAACAGCCGCTTTCCCTTTTCTTTTCCACGGAAGTGAAAAGGATCGGACACGCACCGTGTTGTTATCTCTGTTATACGGAGCCTGCCCACGGCTCTTGCTTCCAACTTTTATTTTCGAAACAGCCCGCGATCGCTCGTGCGTGATCGAACGCTATCGCTTAAGAGAATCCGACGAAACGGACTGCGAACATTCTGTCGGCAGAAATTTCCGCTTCACGACATCCACGTTCGGTCAACGAGATTTGAAAAAATCGGGAACGATCGTAAACAGAAGCGGGAATTTTGATATTTGATACGAGCAAAGTTCAATTAAATTAAGAACTTATATTATTGATTATAATTAAAACCCATCAAAATTATTTCGCGTAAATTAATAATTGTACAAATTTCAAGTAAAAAAAAAACAAATAAAATAAAATCTCTTTTATCTTATAAGTTAAAAATTTGTATCTTAAGTCTAAGACTATAAAAATATGAAATTAACTATAACACTGACATACGGATATATATAACATATATATATAACAAAAGCAATTGATAATTTCTTACATGACTTAGTCTTATATGACTTAGTATTATAATTATGTGACATATTTACTATGTGATATATGCCTAATGATATATTTACTATGTGATATATCATTATTATCGCTTACCATATTATTAATTGTATAATTGTATAATAAATGCAAAGATTAATGGTTTTATTCCGCTGTAAATTAATCAAATTACTGTGAATGTTAAAATTTTAGATTTTACATTTGATAATATATTGTGTCGATACAGAATTTTTGTTCGAAATATCCAAATAGACAATTGTTTTCTTATTAGTTTCGCATGATAATCATTTAAGTATGAATCACGCCGCAGCGTAGCGTGGCAATTAAATCAAGCGATATTCCGAAAAACTTTAGTTCGTTATGGCGCGATTAATCATTAAATCTTCTCTCGGCAAAATGTAACGCCCGCTGATAGTTATTAGTTACGAATTACGATCTACTTTCACAATTAATGCCAGCTAAACGTACATGTTCGTTGGCCGCTTGTGCACTCGGCCAAGTATTGCCGCCGTAACAGGTGGAACGTGAAAACTAACGGCTGTCGGAAAGATTGAAGAAATGGTTGATCTATTTGCGTCAATTATTTGCTACTGTACGTCAAAGTGTTCCAATTCCTCAACGGCAGACTTTCCCTACTATGGTTGTGCGAATATAAAAAATTATTTTGTTAATAAATCATCTATCCTAAGAATAAAACTGGATAGAATTTACTTACCTTATGTAAGGCTAAAATGAGATGTAAATCACATTAAATTGCACAAATTGATTTTGTTTTCTACTGAATAAAGAATAAAATGGTATGAAATAATTTACTTTTCCATCACAGAATAGAACAAAGGTAAAATTGAAGTGTTAAAAACATGAAAGTAGCGTTTTATATAATATTACTGAATGATCTCTATATCTCTAAAGGATTGTAGAGACTTCGTAACGTACATCTTGAAAGAGTTAGATTGAGCTTAGATATCTTACTTACGCCTAATATGTGTCTCGTTTTGCATAATTATACTGAAAAGACGTGTGTAATTACATAGTTGTCGTGCTAGAAATGAGGAGAATATGAGGAGATAAGATAATGTGCTATCTATTGCAAATGAACGTCTCGCTTGCGATAATTATATGGAAGGTTTAATTATTTGAATCGTTGAACTCCGCGTTTGAACTAAAGTTTTATCAGCTGAAATAATTAATAACAATAGAAAATATTTAATAAAAGCTTCCGATTTCTTTAAATTATATTTAAAAACAGTTAAAATAGTTATATGATTATTATAAATAATTATAAGATTATTTGGTGCCTTATTTATTAATAAGTTAATTTATTTTATAAAATTTGATTTCTTTTTATGATATAAGACTGAAAAAAAAGTTGAATTTTATAATATAAGATAAACTCGGATTTTCAAATCAATTGTTTGATTGTGAATTTTATTAGTAACTGTTTATAAATATATAAACTCAACATTCTAGCTTTTACAATACTCGTTTAATAATTCGGAAAAATCCGATTTGGAAACAAAATCTAAAATCAGCTTAAATTTAATTAATCCTTATAATACAACATAAAAACGACACCTTAGCGGGGATATTTCGAGTTCAATCACTATTCCATCTATTTAAAGTGGTTCAAATTTCTATAAAAATTTATGAATTTATCTTCAAGTTCATAAAATATATGTTTGTATTTTATTTTAAAAAAAGATAAAATATATAATTTAACAATATAACTTAATTAATCAAAAATTGGATATAAATTGATTTAAAAAAGTTTAACTTTTTATCATAAATGCATATATATATATATATATATATATATATATATATATATATATATATATATA